TTTGTAACAAACAATGTGTTAAAACTTTATTGGCTCGGTGTCCTACCCGGGGCATCGTAGCTCCATTTGTGAGGGCTTTTTGTATGACATTTCCATATATCATCAATCAAAACATTGGACGTTTGTTACATTTCAAATCTTGTGCTCTTTTTCTTTCTGTGTTATATATATTGCAAAACAGCTATATTTACACACACTCACTTATACAGGTTTCAATCCACTCTGGATCTCACTGGTAACAGCTTTGCTACCGCCAGTTATGACTTCGAGAATCTGATCAACTTGGCCGAAGACGAAGGTGAAGATGATTGCGAAGTGCCTGGTGAACTCGCAAGACTGCTACTCTAGGAAGAGAGGGCTATTCAGCCACATGAAGAGCCGGTGGAAACAGTTAACCTGGGTACTGAGACAGATAAGAAAGAAGTCAAGATTGGTGCCAATCTAGAGCTCAGCGTGAAGCAACGATTGATCCAGATGCTACATGATTACATAGAGATCTTTGCCTGGTCATACGAAGATATGCCTGGTTTGGATGCCGACATTGTAGTTCATCACCTGCCAACCAAGGAAGACTGCCCTCCGGTAAAGCAAAAGGTCCGCCGTATGCGCCCAGAGATGTCTGAAAAGATCAAGGCTGAGGTTATGAAGCAATTCGACGCCGGGTTTCTAGCAGTGACTTCTTACCCTCAGTGGGTTGCCAATGTGGTACCAGTGCCGAAGAAGGACGGTAAAGTCAGTATGTGTGTCGACTACAGGGACTTGAACAGGGCAAGCCCCAAGGATGACTTCCCCTTACCTCACATCGACGTTCTTGTTGACAATACTGCTCAACACAAGGTTTTCTCCTTCATGGATGGTTTTTCAGGGTATAATCAGATCAAGATGGCTCTGGAGGATATGGAAAAGACTACCTTTGTGACTCAGTGGGGCGTCTTCTGTTATAAGGTCATGCCGTTCAGGTTGAAAAATGCTGGGGCAACTTATCAACGTGCCATGGTTGCTTTATTTCATGATATGATCCATCATGAGATTGAGGTATACGTTGATGACATGATTTCAAGGTCTCAAACTGAGGAGGAGCACCTTGACCATCTGAAGAAGTTGTTTGACCGACTCAAGTTATACAAGCTGAGGTTGAATCCCAACAAATGCACCTTTGGGGTAAGATCCGGAAAATTGCTAGGTTTCATTGTAAGTGATAAAGGTATTCAGGTGGACCCTGCCAAGGTAAAAGCCATACAAGAGATGCCGACTCCAAAGACAGAGAAGGAAGTCAGAGGTTTCCTGGGACGACTGAATTACATTGCCCGATTCATCTCACATCTGACTGCTACTTGTGAGCCAATCTTCAAATTACTGAAGAAAGATCAAGTAGTACGCTGGAACGATGAATGTCAGGCTGCCTTTGAAAAGATAAAGGAATATCTCCAAGAACCACCCATTCTTATGCCACCAGTGGAAGGGAGACCTCTGATACTATACTTGACAGTACTGGACAATTCAATGGGGTGTGTGCTGGGGCAGCATGACGAGTCTGGCCAAAAAGAGCACGCTATTTATTACTTGAGCAAAAAGTTTACCGACTGTGAGTCTCGTTACTCACTGCTTGAGAAAACTTGCTGCGCTCTAGTATGGGCTGCTCGCCGGCTGAGACAGTATATGCTGACTCACACTACTCTATTGATTTCAAAGATGGATCCCATCAAGTACATATTTGAAAAGCCTGCTCTGTCTGGAAGAATAGCGAGATGGCAAATGATCTTAACAGAATATGATATCCAATATACAACTCAGAAAGCAATCAAAGGAAGTGTACTGGCAGATCATTTGGCACACCAACCTGTGGACGATTACCAATCATTGAACTTTGATTTTCCGGACGAAGATATCATGGTGGTAACTGACTGTGAAGTACCTGGACCGGATGAAGGACCTGAGGAAGGATCCCGATGGTCTATGCATTTTGACGGAGCCTCCAATGCTTTGGGTAACGACATCGGTGCTGTAATCATATCTCCCAAAGGAACTCATACTCCACTCACCACCTGATTGTGTTTCAACTGCACCAACAACATGGCAGAGTATGAAGCATGTATCATGGGTTTACAAGCTGCAATCGACTTAAGGATCAAATTTCTGAGTGTCTTCGGAGATTCCGCTCTCGTGATCAATCAGATCAAAGGTGAGTGGGATACGAAACACCCAAATCTTATTCCTTACAAGGAGTATGTGTCAACCTTGCTTCCCCACTTTGAAGAAATAACTTTTGAGCACTTCCCAAGAGAGGAGAATCAGCTAGCGGACGCACTAGCTACGATGTCTTCAATGTTCAAAGTTAAATGGGACAATGAGGCTCCCCGGATCATTATCTGGAAGTTGGATGAACCGGCATACTGCTGCGAGCTTGAGGCTGAAAAGGTGACTGAAAAACCCTGGTATCATGAGGTGAAGAGGTACTTGGAAGCTCAGGAATACCCTGAAGGTGCATCTGTCAATGACAAGAAATTCATGAGGAGGTTTGCGGCAAAATTCTTCCTCAGCAACGGCATTCTCTACAAACGGAATCATGATTCAACTCTACTACGTTGTGTGGATAAGGCTGAAGCAGAGAAGATCATGTTAGAGCTGCATGAAGGTACATTCGGGACACATTCTAGTGGACACACCATGGCCAAGAAAATCCTTCGGGCAGGATATTTCTGGTCCACAATGGAAGCTGATTGTTACCAACACTCCCGAACTTGTCACAAATGCCAGATCTATGCTGACAAGGTGCATATTCCTCCGGTTCCTCTGAACGTCCTGACGGCACCTTGGCCTTTTGCAATGTGGGGCATTGATATGATCGGTGAGATCCGACCGACAGCATCTAATGGGCATCGCTTCATCTTAGTGGCGATCGATTACTTCACGAAGTGGGTTGAGGCAGCTTCCTACGCAACGGTAACCAAGAGCGTCGTGGCACATTTCATCCGGCATAATCTGATCTGTCGATACGGTGTCCCGGAAAGAATCATCACAGACAATGGTACCAATCTCAATAACAAGATGATCGCTGAACTCTGCGAACAATTCAAGATACAGCACCACAACTCTTCTCCCTACCGGCCGAAGATGAATGGGGCTGTAGAGGCAGCTAATAAGAATATCAAGAAAATTGTGCAGAAGATGACAGTGACCTATAAAGATTGGCACGAGATGTTGCCATTCGCTCTTCATGGGTACCGTACCTCAGCAAGGACGTCGACCGGGGCAACTCCTTTCTCCTTGGTCTATGGCATGGAGGCAGTCTTGCCAATTGAAGTCCAGATACCCTCTCTCCGGATAATGAAGGATGCAGACTTGAGTGAAGATGATTGGATCCAGACTCGACTTGATCAATTAAATCTGATTGACGAAAAGAGGCTCACTGCTATATGTCATGGTCAAACGTATCAAAAACGAATGATCAGGGCATTTAACAAGAAAGTCAAACCACAAGAGTATCAAGTTAGGGACCTGGTAATCAAACGCATCATCCTTCCTCAAAGTGATCCCCGGGGCAAATGGACCCCTACGTACGAAGGGCCATTTGTGGTCAAACATGTGTTCTCAGGAGGAGCCATGATTCTAACCACCATGGATGGTGACGACCTTCCTCACCCCGCCAATGCAGACATAGTAAAAAGATACTACGCATGAACAAAAGACCCGCTAGGTTGACATGCCTAGGCAAAAATAAGGGCCTCCCGGCGAACCAAAAGGGTTCGGGCAAAAATAAGGGATGAAATGAATACAAAAAAATCTGTACACCCGGCAAGTTGAAAACCCGAAAGGGCGGCTTGGGCAAAAATGGGTATCCCGATGGATTGAAAACCCGAAAGGGCGGTCCAGGCAAAGTTAGGGATAAAGCGTAACACTATGTCTCATTGGATCACTTCGCATCTGGAATTCGGTATCAACTATCTGGCTCAGATTTCGGCATCGACCAATCAGCTTCATCTTCAACCAAGCAGCAAAGTGATGAGACGCTTGAAGACATAAAGGCGATAGCAGAGTTGGAACCCAGTGGGATTGTTCACATAGCTGTTTTGTTTTCTTTTCAAAATTGTAAATTCTATGTTATTCGGCGGCGTCCTCTTACTAGGATGTCAGCCTCTTGTACAAAAATGCCTATTCACAGGCAAAGTTCAGATCAATACAAATTCACTGGTCCATACAAATTGCCATTGTTTTTCCTTTTTCTGTTTTGTTTTGCGAAGAACGTCCAATCACTACGCCAAATAAGCTATTTAATAGCGCTTTTTTTTGTTTTTGATAGCGCTTAAAAGTGCTATTAACCGCGCCACTATTGTAAATATTTCTTATTTAATAGCACTTTAAAAGCGCTATTAAAGTACCAATTTATAATAGCGTTTTAATTAAAGTGCTATCAAAGTCAGTATTTTGCATGTTTTTTGTTTGTTTTTTTATAGCACTCTAAACAAAAAGCGCTAATATATAACATATGTTTGATAGCGCTTTCAAATAAAGTGCTAATAAATGGTACATATTTGGTACAATATTTTTAATAAGTACAGTACAATATTTTTTCTTACACAATCATTTTTTTTTGGTGTAAATATAAAATAACTATATTCAATTCAACACAAATAACGCTTTAAGTTACTCATTGCATATATATTATGATCCATCAAATACCAAATAACATTTTAAATTACCAAATCCTATTGTTTCCAAATATCATAACATATAGAATATTAAGAGGGCGTTTGCATAGCCAAATTTGTAGATGCTCATCTATGAGTACTTCAATCCAAATCCAAAAACATACAATCAAATTCTCTAAACAAAACACCAAAAAAATAAGAAAGGATAACAAAACAATCCCATGTAGTAACCACCTTCATGATCCAAAAGCGTTGAACTCATAGATACCATTTCCTAGATTATCCTCCTGTGATACATGTGGAGATATGAAAGAGAACTTATTTATTAATCCATTTGGACTAATAAACTTGTCATACAAATACCTAGAAATGAACAACAATTGATATTAATATATTTGTCACCAATGTGAATATTAGTCAACAATACAAATAACATTAATATTAATAATATATTTGTCAAATAAGAGAATATTTGTAATAATAGAGGTACCTGGAAAATACAGTGATAATAGATGCACTTAACCAATTGTGATCAAGAATCTCCTTTATACTCTCTACACGTAGTTGCTCTAAAAACTCCTCACCAAATATACTTTCCTCCATTTTTATTTGAATTAATGATCCAACCCTCATCATCTTTTTCACATACATATCAAGGAAAGGTAAATTTGCAATACCAGCTGAACCGCCAACTCTAGGAGACTCTTCGATTTTGAATTTTTTGTTACTTTTGTTGGGTGATGAAACTGAATATTCAACACTGTGTTGAATATTGTTACCTTTGTTTTGGGATTGACCAGGAATCTAAAAAGTTGTATTAATTAATATTAGTGATCAAATAATAAAACAAGTAGCGATCAAGCAACTTGATTATAAGTAATTTACCTTTTCACATTCAGCAACAAATTCAAGAAGTTTCGTTGGCCATGGCACAATTGTTCCTATTGCTTGACCAACCATGGATACATCTCCATCTTCAACAGATATAGGCAATGGGGCATTTGGCACAATAGCAACTTCGATATTAACCTTGACATATCCAGGTGGTAACGTCATGCCATGTACCGTGTTACCTTTGGTGTTATATAGTTTTCCACGAGCAACCAAACAACGACTCGGGGAGGATAAATATATATTAACAGGAAAGAGACCCTAAACCAATAAGATATGAATAAAAAGATTAACATCATTATTGAAAGAACAAACATATCGAATTTGAGAGATAATAAAGAAACCAATTACCTCGGGAATGTTGCCAAATGATCCAGGGTTGCAAGAACCTTTATCACTAGGTAGTCGACTCTCAGCTACTTTTTCTGGTTGTTTCCTTTCTACCACTTGTTCAAGGTGTTGCCTCTGTTCCACTTTTTCAGGTTGTTGCAACCTCTCTGACACTTGTTTAGGTTGTTGCCTCTCTTCCACTTCTTCAGTTTGTTGCCTCTCTAGCTTCTCTCTATCCAACTTATCTCTCTCAATCTTTTCTCTCTCTAGCACCTCCAATCTACTTTTGAGTGAATTACAAAAGCCATACAAATTTTCAAAATCCATTTGTGTGGGGCGATTTTGGCGTGGTAATATGTCCCTAGAACATACCCCAAAACCATAAGTCCTAACACGTCCAGAGTAGTTTGGGAGATTAAGAGCCTCAAATAGTATGTTTGTGGGACCAAGGTCTTGTCTCTCTTCTTCAGATAGAGCTTCTGTTAACTTCTCCTGACATTGATAAGTATAAAAGAAATAACCAATAGTTAGATACAAGTTGCAATTAATGGCTATTCTATCAAAATAAGACACAAAGACTTAATTAATTAAGGAAAATCGAGTTTAATGACTTCAAACTAACTAACAAAATACAAATTCGGTAACAATGATGAGTATAGAAAAAGTGTCACATCTATAATGTGAGCATTTTGGAAATAACATCTATAGTGTCACATCTAAAATTCGACTTACACATTGATCCACAACTCTTTGAACATTCTCATTATCAATCACCCCGCTCTTATTGACGCGGGCAGCCTTCCACACTTGACTACGGTTTATCTCACCAACTTCTGACTCTTCTACCTGTATATACATTTTTACAAATTAACATAGCAATTAAATTTTTTTATAATATTGTATAGTACATTTATACACATACTTACCATATCAGCTTCAAGACGAGCACACCCTAAACGTGACTTTATATAGGGATGTTGAGGATTTAACGCTCTTTCTCGATTCTCATCACTAACTTTCTGCATTTATTATAAAAAATGCATCCCACAACACTATCACTAATACTATAATCATGCAAAACTTTAAGGATCCATATCCAAGTGATAAAAGTATTACCTGAAACTTTGCAGTCATATGTTGGGCTACAAATTTATCCCAATCATCTTGTTTTAGACAAAAAGAATATTTGGCCGGACGATGTTAACAAAACCACCCTTACTATCTTTTAGATATGACCTCGCCATTTTTGTTCTGAATGCCCTGTGCAACTTTCCATCTTCTCTATATACAAAGGCACGATGTTCCTCGCCAATTATAAAAGCTTTCTGCAAATAATTCAGTTTATTAAAACATAGTTCAGTTTATTTAAACATCCCAATGGATAGATTAACAAAATTAAAATTTTACAACTAGCTTAAGTTAGTGTGTTACTTCAATTTCATCCCAAATGTTTTGTTTATAAACCCCCACAGCCTCTTTATTTTTTTTCGCGCTCCATCAACACAAATATCATAACGCTCACAAACAACAACCACAACTTGTATATGTTCTTTACAGAGTAACTGCAGCCTGTAATTTTCTTGAAATCACAGATTAGTGTAAATAGTTCTGTCAAACTCAGCGTCTACATCAACAACCACAAACACTATTGTTGGACTTCTCCACTAAAACTCTGAATTATAGACAAAATACAATGAACAATACAGGTAGTCCCAAAAAACGATCGAAGTTCATAATCATACTAACAGAGCAAATTGGAAAAAAAGTTGAAAACTAACTTATCTCAGAATAATCACCGGCAGCCACCGTGATCGAACACCGACAATAAATCCATCACCAACGACTCTAACTATTTGTAATTTCTTCATTACATTGACTCTAACTGTGGATGACTGAAAGCAGATTGAAACTCTTGCACTATTTAGATACAAAACCATTCAAATATTGAATCACATGCATACTACTTCTCCAAAATCCTTTATTGTGAGCATGCTTTGGTTCAAAATTGGGTGCAGAAGTCAAGTAGTTTATGATAATTAGCCATACATATAAGATGTAACTTTTTTTCCTATGATAAATATACTTATATGCAGTCTATCAATATAAGTAATGCACGTACATCAGAATTGGAAACAGTATATGTTAACTCGTCATACTTCCTCTAAATCTTGTAAGATACCCTTTATCAGAATTGATGAGGCGAGTTTGAAATTCTGCCCACTCACTCTTGCATCTCATTATGACCCCGTTTACATGATGAAAACCACAAACTCCTTGTTACTATATCGCACAAATTTCACATACAGTACATCAGAGAATTGTGACAGTAATATCGTTTTCGTGTCAAATAAACATACCGCATCATATTTGTCTTTTCCATGATCATATTCTCCCTGAAATTTGTAAATATAGATCTAAGAATTACTTTTAATAAAAAATTTGCAGGTTGAAAGCACAATCAGTTTAGTTTATTATATCAGAAAATGTGTAGCAGTAAATATCTATGTAAGTTAGTGATAATGACTAACTCGTTCACCAAGAGTAGGAATTGTTTGATGAACAATCCATTGTTCATCAACCACAGCAATTTTTTCATGTGCTGGCTGCCAAAAAAATAAACAAAAAGTAAGGCATTGAAGGGACCAGAAACATATGAAATAGAACCATGAATTATGAAACGACGTTAAATCAATAACACTTAAATAACACCGACATAGAAAAATCGAAAAACATGCTTGCTATATGTTTAATAGTTACTGTTATTGATGTTCCACATCCTTCAATAAGTTTGTTAAGAGAACCCAAAGCTGCAAAATTTTTGCTCAGTTTAGAATATATTATGAATAAATCAAATCTTAGAAGCATAAACAAAGCTGCAACCTCATTGTAGCATTGTAAATCCATGAAATTTGAGGAACCACTAAGCTGCAAACCAGTAAATTTGCAATTTCATCAGTATAATTACAAATTTAACAGCCTTGGATATATTATATTTAGAACATTTAGACAAAAGCATGTTGCAACTCAAATATTACAAACTAAACAGAGCTCTAACATCAACTAAACACCACCAGCATCAAACCTGAAAGCGCACCAGGCCAAGACAGGTATGAAGTATAATCATGAAAAGATACACTAAAAATAATAGAACAACGATGTACCGAATAAACTAAAACAGATCAACAATGCAATAACAAAGGGAAAAAGTTTGCTTCATGAGAATAGCCACTACAATAAGGTTGAAACATAATTTTTTCAGGTATTTCTTAAAATCATTTCTTTTGCAGTCACACCACACCAGGAATCAAGTTCTCCTATTTTGTCTTCTTTAAAATATATTTTGTTTCCCTGTTTCAAATATTGAAGAAATAAAAACTGTGAAACACCGACAACATTGTAAAAACAGTGAAACACCGACAACATTTAAATTCATAGTTAGACAATAGTACATGATCAAAACCTAAATTGAAGTAAAATATTTCAGATACCTATGTTATTCTCCAGTCCATGTTGTTCTTTTCTTCTTGTCGTCACCATCGCCATGTTTAAGATTCTCATTACAGTTACTCAAAATCACGAATATCCGTCAACACAAAGACATCATAACGCTCACAAACAACACAGAGAATCAACGGATAGCAGAAACTGAAAAAAGAAATATTACCGGATACAAATGAAGAGAGAGATGACGACGAAGTAGGTGAGATGACAAAGGGTTGAGTTTGACGGAGAATGAGATTTGGTTGTTCTTTCTTTTCGGTGTTTCCTCCTTCTGTTTGAGTGTCGTTTGAGAAGTGAATCTGAATCTGAATCGATGGTGAATCCGATGGCTGAAGAATGGATCCGGGTGAAAACCGAAGGAAGGGATGACGGTGGTAAATCAATGACTAACGGCGGTGAATCAATGAAAACCGAAGGAAGCAGAGGAAGATTTGACGGCAGTGAGTGGAAGCAGAGGAAGTAGAGGAAGATAGTGTTTTTGTTTTTGGCGGTGAGTGGATGCGGGAAACCCAATTTTCTGAAAATGTGTTTTGTTTTTTTTTTATCAATTAATTAATTAATTCATTATTATATATAACATAGAGCTTTTTAATAAATGCTATTATATAGGTAGTCAAATAATAGCGTTTTATACAAAATGCTATCTTAAAGAAGTTTAATAATAGCGTTCTGGTACAAAGTGCTATCATAATTACATAGTCTGTATTATATAATAGCGCCCGATTAAAAAGTGCTATTATAAATGTGTTTTTTCCATTTTAATAGCATTTTTTTTAAATGTGCTATTAAATTAGGTGATAAAAAAAATCATTTTTGGCGTAGTGAATGTTCATTTTTGATATATGCATTTGACATTAAATTGCTGATTCATAAATATTTGCATATAAAACGAAAGATTAATTACAGGTGACATCAGAGACAGGGGCAATGTGAAGTTGTCTGATGCAGTCTGGTTTCTTTGTCCGCCAAGGTACCAAGGTAGATTCGATTGAAGAATGCGACCAAGTCATCTCAACGCCCCGCAGAGTAAGACAAGATTCAGCAATACTTTCTCCAAGCGGAGTTGATTCCCCGTCAATCCTGAAAAGGCACAGAATTCCCCGGCAGGTCTTAAAGCTCATCCCCAGTAGGTTCTGGAAGCTTGTTCCCTGCAGGGTACGGACGTCTCTCCCGAGCTTTATTCAGAGTTATTCCTCACAAGGGCTTATAACTGGGTTATCCTCAGCTAATTGCCACGGAAGATCGCCTTCGGCAAGGTTCTTTCAATCTCCGGCAGAAGTCTACCTTTGGTATTCCCCAGCGGAGTTTATCTTTGGTAATCCCCAGCGGAGTTTATCATCATTATCCCCAGCGGAATCTATCATTGAAGTCCTCAGCAGGCCTCTCATCAAAACTTCAGCAAAGTATCTCTTCCACAGAGCAATTCTCCGGCCGATCGTCAAGGATTTATTTTCCTAAGACGAAATTACATTCATAAACATTTCACATTTTTATACATCTTGTATACATACATGATAAAGTGCATACAACACTATCTCATGTTGAACAGCATGACATCATGCATATCATACATCATGACATTGCATACAACTTATGTTTTTGCCTTTTCAGAGAAAAAGACAATCCCAAAGACAACTACCTTCAACTGTCACAATTCCAGATTCGATACCTGTATCTAGCCAGGGCACATCTGAGAGTGATCAGTTTCCAGACTCGACTCCTGTATCTAGTCAGGGCACGTCTGAAGAAGTTCGAAGATTCGATTCCTGTATCCATCCAGGGCACATCTATCAACTACAACATTTCCAGATTCGATTCCTGTATCCAGCCAGGGCATATCTGCTAACAACATTTCCAGATTCGATTTCTGTATCCAGCCAGGGCATATCTGTTGACCACATTTCCAGACTCGATTCCTGTATCTAGCCAGGGCACGTCTGAAGAGATCGAAGATTTGATTCCTGTATCCAGCCAGGGCATATCTATCAACTATCACAATTCCAGATTCGACTCCTGTATCCAGCCAGGGCATACCTGTTGACCATATTTCCGGACTCGATTCCTGTATCTAGCCAGGGCACGTCTGAAGAGTTCGAAGATTCGATTCCTGTATCCAGCCAGGGCACATCTGTGAACAACCGATTGTAGATTCGACACCTGTATCTAGCCAGGGCATATCTGCATGAGGAGATTGAAGATCAAACACCTGTAACAAGCCAGGAAAACATCTGTCTTTCTCAAATACACAAGTTCTCGCTAAGGAATCTCTTATGCGATCAACACTTCCAAATGGCATCTATAAGCCCATTCCCGACAAGGTTCTGTCACATCTCCAGATGGCATCTATAAGCCCATCTCCCTATCCACCACCTCTCCAAATGGAATCTATAAGCCCATTCCCGACATCACATTGCTGATACTCCAACATGCGAGTGCAAATTTCCGGGCACTCTAGTGTCCAATCTCCTTTTACCCTCGAGTCACGAAAGGCAAACTTGCCAATCTAACTCTTCAGGTTCAAGAAGATTGAACAGGGGCAACTGTTGTACCCCAAAATTTGCCCTCCCATTTCCTCAACATTTTCTCATCACAAAACCCTTGAAGATCAAGATCCAGTTAGGGTTTCCTCTGCTCAAGACTTCTCCTTGCACTGTTGACCCAAATTAGGGTTTGTGTTTGCACAAAGAGATTTTGACCTAAAATGCCTAAGATGACTTTCATGCCTCATGTTGGACTCCCAAGTTTATCCATATCAAGTTTCAAGTCTTAATTCCAAGTTTTGCCCAGTCAATTGGACAGATGACCTAGAAATCAACTGTATTGGGAAAAAGTCAACTGTGGCCAATTGACAGTCAAAACTCATAAAAATTGACCCACATCAACATTATGAACTCACATGGACCATTTGATCAAGTTTGGATCACAATTCCACAAGAAATTTAATCAGATCATCAAAAGGGCAAAATGGTCATTTTTAGGGTTTTGACTGCACAAAGACAATTTTTGACTGTTTAACCTAGCCAATGGCAAACCAAGCTCACATATGGACTCAAGGACCCCATGGAATTATCTTGACATGCTCAACAAACTCAAAAGATCCCAAGTACACAAGATTGACAGTTGAATTCCCCAGTCAATTGATCAATTTTGACTATATACTGAAAAGTCAAACTTTGACTTTTTGGTCAAAATCAAGAGTCAAGATTCATTTTTCATCAAAACATGCCAAATCATGAAACTTGCTCACCAAGAAACCAAGAAATGCAAATTAGGGTTTGAAATGGGAATTTTTCATAACTTAGAATTTTTCTAAGTTATGGAAAACCCTAATTTTTTCCCAACTTTGCCCCACTTTCTCACCATGATTCATTTGGATTCAAACAAAAGTCAAAACATGAAATTTGTAGCTTGTTGCATAATATACAACTTTGATTCACAAAGTTTTCCAAAATGAAGCTTGTATCTCAAGTTACAATATTTTGAATAAGGGCACTAAACCATTCTTAACTTAGTGAAAATTTGACCTTTTTGACAAGGTTTTCTACCTAACTTCAAGGCTATTTTCCATACACTTCCACTTGGAATTTCAATTTTCATTTCAAAGATGGATTGTAGTACACATTTCAAGCTTTCCAAAATGTCCAAGAACTTCTCAAACAACCTCATGGTTAGGGAGAATCGAATTTTGCAAAATGGGAAAAAGTCACTTTTGTTCTTGGCCATGTACATGTTCATAACACTATGCATTTCAATCTCAGCATGCTTAAGCTACATTACAGGTCCTAAAACCCTTTGACACTCATAAATTTAATGCAAAACCATTGTGCCAAGTTGTTATTTTAAGCATTTGGACATTACATGGAGAATTAACCCTAAACTAGAAAAAGCATTATTTCCATTTTGAAAAAGTAGAACTTTATGTCAAGTTTGCAATCCAAGTGGTACAGTCCAAATCTTCTTGGCACAAGTTTGTGAGCAAATTGCACTGATCAAGGCTAATGTATGCAGCATAGTGTGAGGGCCTGTACAGGCTAGAATCATCAAGTGGCCATTGCTTGCTTCAAGTTCAAGTAAGATATCATAACTTGTACCAACTCTCATATCAGCTTACAAACACTTAGACAAACTTATCAAACACATTCCAAACATTGATCCTAAGCTAAAGCACGAGCCTTTCACCTCCAATCCCTCCCAAAACTCAGAATCACCTTGAAACTGCTCAAACAGAGCAACCTCTGCAGATTGAGTTCCAACTCTCAATCCTTTCAAGCATTCTTGCCCAAACCAGTTCATACACATTCCCTAGCATCTATGCAAGCTAACCATGAATTGAAACACGACCTGTAATCCCTCTAACAAGTTCCACCATTTTCACTTTTTCATTTTGCAGTTGAAGTTCTACA